AAATTCAATAGCTAAATTCTCCTACTTCTAAGTATAATAGATTGTATGCAATAAAAATCCATTTGGTCACAACCACTTCCCTATTTATTAGACATGTATAAATCAAATGCATTAAAAGATATTTGTAGCATTTTGAACATTAAAAGAACATATTTTAAATAGTTCATAAAATTAAACCAATAAAGTATAAAAATATATATAAAGCTAACTGGCACTCAGATAAAGAAAGAACCACTGAGCTTAATTGCAATAAAAGATATCATCAAGAAAAATATTAATAGATTTTACTACATAAAAATTAAACATGCGTGTAAATTGAAATGTAAAATGTAATATTAAAAATGTACAATATGAAAACAAAAGTTTTAGTTTTTATTTTTGCAGATCTCATTATCACCAGTTAGTTAGTGAATTTGATTTTTAACCTGAATATTTTATAATGCTTAACTAGTTTTTTTATATATCTCTACTAGAGGCCCAGGGCACGAAATTCATGCACATTAAAAGTAAGTTAATTAGAGGAAATATTTTAATATTGTTATTTGCCCTTTCTCTATAACAGAAGTGTCAGAGATGTAAGAAAATTAGTAAAATGTATATGAAAATCTTCCTCCTGTCAGAGTCTGGGACATGCTGCAGGACCCAGAGTCAAGTACCCACCCACTTGCACGCACCTCGAAATCATGTGAGACCCAGACCTTGCTGGCCCCATCCCTCTCAAGCCCCGCTGGGCAGGAGACACAGCCTCAGGTCCCCTGGCCCCAGCTTGAGGGCACCAGGGTATGACAATCATTTGCATATTAGCTCTTTATTATATAGTATGCTGTATTCACATTTGATTCTTTTATATTACTATTATTAATTTTAGCATGAGACATTCATATCCACATAGAGTTATATTAAACCTATATAAACCTAAATGTGATGAGAGGGGAGAGAGTGAACAATATTTAAGGATTGAATCTTTAAACATACCAGAAATAATCATAAACAGTACCAGGAAAAGAAATGACAAATATTTTTTTCCTTACCTAGGCTTCCACTTGCCAGAATTTCACCTCTGAAATGTCATATTCTTTTCTGCATATAACATTATGAAGTCCCTTCAGAAACTGTTACCTACCTAACCACATAATAGAGGATGAAAATATAGATTAATACTAATTATAACCTGAAATAAAGGTAAATGAAATTTAAATAAAGACATCCTACTTTAATATAATATATTACATTAGGGATGTTCATAAAGTGAAAATAAATGATATTAGATCTGTCCTAATTAAGAAATCTATAAACCTAATTCTCAAGATATTTAAGATCTTGTTAACATTTTTACTTCTGTAAAATATCTGACATTGTCTGTGTCTAGTGGTTAGGCTTATATCCATGCATACAGTCCTTTGGTTGATCTTTCCCTTTTGGGGGGTGAGGGCATGAATAGGGGGATAGGCGTGCAATGGGGGAATAAGGACACATATGTAACACCTTAATCAATAAAGAAATTAAAAATATATGTATATGACATTAAGTTTTTTTAATGGGTATTTGAATGTTATGTTTTTGTTTTTCTGGTTTTATAAATTTTAAGTATATCTTTAAGCATATTCCCTCAAAATATAATTCTTTGACCTGGAAGGGTAAAAGAGCATTTTTTTTGCTTCATTTTGACCAGAATAAAATCTTGTAAATTAACTTTGTTATTTTCAGGACTGTATGTACATGTAATCTGCCATTCTTAAATATTTAAAAATTTCTGATAAAAAAAGAAATGTGCTTATGTATAATTTTTCAGAAAACAAAAGTATAATTAAATAATCACCACACCCTAATGTATAATATTGAAAGTCTAATATACTAATTAGACTGGACAGCCAAATGACCTGTCAGACATCATTCCAGATGAAGCCACAGCAGCGGGGGCTGAGGCAGAGGTGGATGGAAGAGATCAGGCAGGCAGGCGAGCAGTTAAGGGTGATCAGGCATGCAGGCAGAGTGGTTAGAGTGATCAGGCAGGCAGGCAGACAAGCTGTTGGGAGCCAGTGGTCCTAGATTGTGAGAGGGATGTCCGACTGCTGATTTAGGTCTGATTCTGCAGGGCAGCTGGATATCCCCACGGGGGTCCTGGGTTGCGAGAGGGTGCAGGCTGGGCTGAGGGACACCGCCCTCCATGCACAAATTTTGTGTGCCAGGCCTCTAGTGTTATATAATAAATTACAGGAAAACAGATGAAGGAGAAATAAATCATTTGAATCATAGAATTATTTAACTAATTTTACCACTTGCTGCATAATAACAGCATATATGGTAATACCTCTGATGTCAAGCATACCCAGAATATTACAGTAAAATATATTTCTGAACAACATTCACTAAAGTTATGTGTAATGATTGTTAATTTCATGTGTCAACTTGACTGAGCCAAGGGATGCCTAAGTAGCTGGTTAAACATTATTCTTGGGTATGTCTATGATTGAATAGATTAGCATTTGAATTGGACTGAGTAACACCTTCTGCAATGTGGGCAGACACCATTCTATTTATTGAGGGCCTGACTAGAACAAAAGACAAAAGGTTAAATTCACTCTCTTCCATACTGCTGAGATGGAACATCTACCTTCTCCTGTCTGCAGTACTCTTGATTCTCAGGCTTCCATATCCAGACTGGAATCTGTAACCTTCTGTTTCTCACCACTCAAGCCTTTGAACTACACCACTAGCATTACTGGCTCTCCAGCTTGCAAACTTTCAGCCTCTGTAATGATGTGAGCCAATAGTTTATTTCTTTATCTACATCTCCTACTAGTTATATAACATGTAATACAAACACACGTAGACACACATACACACATATTCTATTGATTCCGTTACTCTGGAAAACCCTGACTAATACAGATTTTGATACTAGGAATGGCTCTAGAGGAACAGAAGTTTCAGAATCAGTTTTCTGAATTAGTTTTGGGATTTCTGAAATTGGCTCTCTAATCTGATTAGATTTTAAGATGCTACTCACTATCTTATATAATAAAAATCTAATATACTAAGTGTCCATCGTCCAGTTGGCTGTTCAACAATCAAAGTGTGATATGCTAATGATACACTAAGGCTGTGCGACTGCTCACTATGACATGTACTGACCACCCCGAGCAGATGCTCTGACTGGCAGGTGAGCTTGCTGCTGGGGTCCAGCCAATCAGGACTGAGGGAGATGGGCCAGACACGCCCTGGAGCCCTCCCACAGTCCCTCCCTGGCTTGCCAACCTCCCGCTTTCTTCCCTGGCCCCGATCATCCTAGGGTGTTTATTTTACTTGTACAAAGAGTAGAGAAATGGAATAGGCAAATAGAAATATATCTGGCCTGTGCAATTAAGACAGCCTGGCCTGCACCCTCTCGCAATCTGGGACCGAGGGGCGGGGGAGGGGGGGGGGGAATGTCAGAGAGCTGGTTTCAGCCATATCCAGCAGTCCAGGCTAAGGGACCCCACTGGAGCATGAATTCGTGCATGGGCCTTTAGTTTTCAATAGTAAAGAGAACTCTGATAGTCCAACTGTTTATATGTGCCTTGGATATTCCTCATCAACCACTTATAAGAGGCAAGTAGCTGGATGACAGAGCATGTGTTATTTTCAAAGTTTTTCAGAAAACTAACATATAATAAAGTTAGAAGGTTGTCCCTAATATAACTGGACAAATGATGAAAGAAAAGAATGAGCTTAGGGATTTTAAATTCCCAGCTCACGTTCCATATAAATACTTCTCTGTGTGCCCTGAAGGAGATCCTTACCTCCTGTAACCTCAGGGCTAATTACTAAAAATCAAATACAGAATCTCATTCTGAGACTGGCTGAATTACATATAAATTAAATTCAGCCTTGCAGGCTGTTTGCTGTTAAAGTGAGGCTGTTGATTTGGAAAAAATGGGGTCCTACATGTTGAAATGGGATGTATGGGAAGATCCTGATAAAGCTGGGGACATTGAGCCCCTAAATTCTGATAAGTCTTTGACAATGGAAGTGACTCCCTACCCCAGCTGAAGCAGCTTCCCCCTCTGTGTGGTAGCAGCATCCCCACCCACAAGGGTATTTGCCTCTCCACTCTCAGAGGTAAAGGAATTAACCCTGCCTTTCCTGAGGAAACTGGAAAGGCCCCCTGAGGCAATTGCCACACTAGACAATGATGATTCTCCTCAGGTCCCACATTCACTCACAACCCCTAAAATAAGATGTATTGATTATTTCATAGACTTTAAGAATTGTTCATTTTACCTCATAGTATTTAGGTTACAGGATATCAAAGAGAAAAGTAAATGTTATTCAAGAACTAAACCTCCTTTTATGAGAAGCAGTTAGTGTGTTTTTGGCTGAATGTGAGATAATTGTAATATGTTAGGCAGACTTGTTACCTTGTTAAAGTCTTCATTTTTTATTAAGTATGGTTTAAGAAGGCATGGATGGGAGCTCCATTGACAATGAAAGGGCTAGTAGCTAGTTTAATTAGGCAGGTTTAGAAAGTTTTAGGAATGAAAGGGGTCCACAGGCGAGGAATACATAATGGAGACTTGAATGTGCTAGGGTGTTTTTTTACTTGTACAGAGAGTAGAGAAATGGAACAGGCAAATAGAAATATATCTTGCCTGTGCTATTAAGACAGTCATAAACCAAAAGATACCTCAAGCCTGAGCAATTAGAGACCATAAGTTAAGCCAAAAGTAGCCCTGACCTGAGTAGCCGGGAGAGCCATAAGATAAGGCTTTCTTTGCCAACACAACTGGAAGAGCTATAATATAAGATAAATCAAAAGTGACTCCAACCAGCAAGATAAGGAGATAGAAAATGGAGGACACCATGTGGGCTTTGAGCTTTGAAAACTAATGCCATGCAGAAGAATGACCAATAAGAAGGGGTCAGGTTCAGCCAAAAAACTGCAGCCTATTTAATGCCTCAAACCAAAGAAACAGTGGTCACCTTTCTTAGGGGCCCCTCTGTCCCTCCAGGAGGAACAGAGACCTAGGCTTAGAATTTAGAATTAGATTTTAGAGGTAGTGTCTGCTTGCAATAAAGTTTCTGTACTTTTCTCCTATAACCTTTTGTCCGTGGCTTCATTCTTCGAAACCATTGAGACAAGAACCTGGAAATTCAGGGCATTCCAGTTTAATTTTTGCGTTTCAACAAGAGGTAGATCTTGATGGTCAAAGTGACTGGGTCACAGGATGACCAAGTAGGTAATTAAGCATTTATGGGTGTGTCTATGAGTAAAGCAAATGGGCCTCCCCTATGTGGGTGAGCATTGTCCAATCATCCAGTTCATTGAAGGAACTGAATAGAAAAAATAAAATAAAAAATCAGATGAAGTTGGCATTTGCTCTTGGCCTGACTCCTGGGCTAGAACATGGATCTCTCAGGCTTTCAAACTACACCACTGCCTTTCCCAAGTTTCCAGCTAAATGGAAGATCATGTGACTTCTCAGGCTCCCTAATATGAGCCAATATTTTACAATAAATCTCTTGTTTCTATTTCTCTGGAGAACACTGACTAGTATACCATATCTTCCAAAAATAGTATGATTCTAATTGTATGATTCTAATATTGGGGAATTTTATAGGGAAATGGTTAACTCTAGAGTTAAAAAATGGTTAATTAAACATTAAAACATTAATATAAAAATGTTATATTTTATATTTGGAATATGTTGAATCTATATTTACATTAAATTCAGAGTTGGAAAAATGAAGTTGCTAATGTAACTACATACTAGGGAAAACATTTTAACAATTAATTTTATTCTTTGAAGTTGAAAAATTAATTTATACCAAATATGTCAGATAAGATAATAGCCTTACTCTGTAGAATTTGTGAAATATTTCCTAAAGATGCAGATTGTTGTACAACATTTCAGTAACAGTAGTCATTTATATGCAAATTCTAGTGAATAATGAATAGATAAAAAACAAATGATAAGATATCTAATGAATATTACCAAAATATGGAACAAGTATTAAGGTGAGCTGAATTAATTTTTATATATTTGATCCAGTTGTATGTAGGGTAGACACGGTACCATCTATAATAAAAAAATAATAATATGCTAATTAGACCAGACAGCCCAATGACCTTCTCCACAGCATTCTGGATATCCTCCCGGACAAAGCTGTGGGGGCCAAGGCAGAGTGGTTGGGGGAATCAGTCAGGCAGGCGAGCAGTTAGGGACAATCAGGCAGGCAGGTGAGAAGTTAGGGACAATCAGGCAGGCAGGCAAAGTGGTTAGGGGCAATGAGGCAGGCAGGTGAGTGGTTAGGAGCCAGCGGCCCAGGAATTGAGAGAGGGTGCAGACCGGGCTGAGGGATCCATCTGTGCACAAATCTCATGCACTGGGCCTCTAGTACATCAATAATTCCTATGGATATATTGCAATGGTTATGATTCTTAAGATAGTTGTATATATGTATTATGGAGCATATAAAATGTCTGTATGTCATTTTTATAGTACTCAACAAATTATTGCACAAGTGTCTTAAATATGCCAGACCTTGTGCAGGGGAGTAGAAAAATGAACAAGCTATAACTCGTCTCAGGAATTCTGTCTAATGAGCCTAAAAATAGAAAGAATTAAAAGACACAGACTGGGAAGAGTGAAACAGAAACATAGGAAAGAAACCACAAGCAATAGGTGTCTTAAATCTTTCCCTCTGAATGCAGTACATAAATGCCTCTGTGTGCTTTGCCATTCCCTGGATGAGGTGTGTGTATGGGTGTGTACGCGCATTCCTAAGCACAGCTGATGGAATAAGGAAATACCTATTCTTAAGTAGAAGCTGCAGAAGGAAAGGAAAAGAGAGCGCCACATAAGGCTAAATTTTACTTCCAATATCCCTCTTGAGCCACTTGAGAGCCACATTCAGAAATCAAGGCTTTTCCATAATGCAGTTTGTGATGCTCTGGATATGATAGATCTATCTCACAGAGGAGCCGATTCATCTTCTGTAGATGGAGGTTTTATTTCACAAACAGTAATTCAGAGGAGAAAAGGGGGAACTATGAGCTAATATTTATTGAAAACTGAAGAGAATAAAAAGAGAGACACTTATTATAGCACATATTGAGAAATACTCAGGAGAACAATTGTACCAGATGTCAATTTGCAGTGAGCTCTTGGGTGAAAAGGGGAAAAAAAATGGAAATGGTTTTCCAAACCCAAGGTAAAAATTAATACAAAGAGTAATAACACTAATTATATTTGTAAGTGAGGAACTCCATTACAGAATATTTTTATACTCTGAGCCCTGGAGCTTTTTAATTTTTAGATATAAATTTGGTTAAATTTCTTTATTTTGAAAATGACTCCCTCTGCTATAATCTTCTTTAATATATACCAGTAGTAATAGAACAGCCGGAAAGCTTTCTCATACTAGGTTGCCACAGCAACATCCCTTCTATGGAATTGTGGGGGCAAGGAGGAGCTGACAAGGGACAGCTGGGGAGAGGAAGTACAGGTGAAATGCAGTGGACTGTGGGAATGTGATACTGTTGATTTTCAAGGGAAAATAAGAAATTCAAGAGAAATAGAGAAAAGGGAAGGGATCAGACTGAAGACTTGCAGATTAATCATGTCTAGTCTCATATCACTCATAATAACTTAAAACAGAGAGATGTTGCTCCTGAACGTCAGGGAAGGAAAAAACACACAAAGGAGATTCTTAAGGAAGGAGCAGGGGAACAAATTATGTCCCAAGGCTGGCCCATAGTCAAACAGACCTAAAATGATCACCACAGTCCTAGCCAGTTTGGCTCAGTAGATAGATCCTGCAATGTACCTTAGTTCCAAGGCTCCTATCTGGCCTGGGCCCTGGTTAGAGCTCATGCAGGAGGCAACCAGAGGAGGTGTTTCTCTCACATAGATGTTTCTCTCTGTTTTCCTTGTCTTCCACTCTCCCTAAATATCAATGAAAACTAAATAAATAAATGAATAGAATAATAGAATAAAATAAAATGGATTGCCACACGAAGACAGCTTAGCCTACCTTTATTCCCTGCTTTTGGTGGCAAGTGTTCATATCCCTTTGCCAATATTTTTATGTTCTATACCCTCTAAGAAAAGCTGACTTGAGCAAAGTTGGGCACTGAGTTCAGCTCTTTCACCCTCTTTCTGAACACTTTGGTCCTAGTGAAAGAAGTTCCTGGCCAAATCAAGCTGGTTAACTATGTGAAACAAACAATGTTTGATTGAAATATCACATTCTTGCCTCTTTTTGGTGACTTCTTCTACCTTCATACCTCAATTCCCAGCTGAGCGACCTTCAAAGTTGAATGCTCATCATTTCATCTCTGTCACAGAATTCCTTCCTAAGTAATTTAACCTGTTCTTTTTCACACTGAAATTCATTAAACCTGTTAACCGAGCGGGACCTATAAATACGTCAAACATAAACACTATCGAGAACGGGTAAGGCATATGATTACGTACTTGAAATATATGTTGCGCCCTGAGAGGGACGGTATATATTTTTTGTAATCTTTATAATTGTTTGTAAAATTTATAATTTTTTAATTTGATGTTTCCATTTTTTTGTTGGTATTCTTTTCTATTTGTTTGTAATTTTGTATTTTCCTTTGTGCTTTATATATAAATAAACGAAAAAATATATATTTCATTTATTTTAATTAAATATAAATAAAAAAAATAATAATATAAAATTACGTCCGCTGGGCGTGACGTACTGACACGTCCTAGTGAAAGAGTATGCGCCCGTTGTACGTTACGTAATTAAAAAGGGAACTCCCTGGTTAACAGGTTAACCTGTCCCATTTCCTCAGGGCCTTGATTTAATATTTCACACAGCTGGAGGAAGGGTTAATATGTATTGTATTACTATTTGTTTATACTGTACCCTTTATAAGCACTATCTTATTAATACCATTGTGCTATGAAGGACATTTTATTTTTTTCAACATGAGAATTCTGATTGTTAAAAGTATTACACCATTTGAATAAAGTCACATGACTATGTGAAGGTGCCAGAAATTGAGCCTGGCTCTGTTGGAGTGTGATCTCAAGGCTCATGCTCTTAGCCACAGCATTCACTGATCACTACCAACCGACCCTTATGTAGATGTCTATGAGGCATTATAATGGCCTCGAGTCTCTTTCCCTTCTCATGAAAACTTTTTTTATTTTTTATGGGAATCTTTACTGCAGCCATAGAGAGAAATGATTATAAAAGAGAAATCAGGTTGAGATATGTTTGGCCCAGTCTCTCAAATTCTACCACATCAGTGACTGTCCTTTCCATTTTCACTAGCATTTTTGTTTGACTCTCTGCTTGCTTCAGTCAGGGAAAACCTCATTGAAATGTGAGCACCTGTCTACCTCTCAGATTCAATACTCGGGTATGTAGGTGGCTGAGACTTTTCTGGGTGACACACTGCTCCCTCTGCTGGACTGTGGAGGACAGAGAGAAAAACATCTTGAAATCTTAGTTGACATGGTACCTTTCTTTACAATTATTGATCAATTAGGAGAGGTAAATAGTGATTGCAAAGAGCTCAAGGACCTGATAGTCCGATCTAGTTTACAAATAAAAAGAAATTCCAAAGACACATGTCTCTAGTACAAATGAGCCTTCTATTGCTAGGTTTTATGTTTATTTGGGAGGCATAGCAGATATACCTTTCTCCCAACCACAGGAGAAGCTTATAATTATCATTGTGATCTGTTTTGAAGATAGAGCTGACACTGATATATTAAATTTCTGGTAATTGTGAGCCATGTCTGGCATGTAAATTTCACATGCTTTATTCTTCTGGGAACCTTTTACAGTCTAGAAAAATATCAGTGTAAAAGAACATGCATTGGCAAGGTGAAGCAATTTACAGCAAAGATAATCTAAGTCTACTAAATGTAGACATAATTCTGAATTATGTGTAGTATAAAAATATGGCAAGTATAGTGGTTGAGTCATTTTAAACTTTGAAAGACAAGCTAAGCTTATATAAATTCAAGTAGCATGGCAAGATTTGTGGATTGTTAACCTTACTAATTTATTCATATTTTCATTAAACATACACTGATAAAGTTCTGACTATGTGGAAGACTCAGAGTTGGAGACATGAA